TGATAAAACCAATAAATTTTTGTCGTAAAATTATACCTAAAGATTGTATTTTCGGATTAAATAATTGAAGACATATAATTGATGAAAATAAACTTAGATTTCAAAATAATCAATTAAATCAATTAAAATTAACCATGATTTTTTTTCCACGATGTTGCATTAAATATATATTTTATAAAATTTGGCACAACTAATATTAGACAGTGTTATGATTATTTCCATAGTTATATAAACAACTCTAATGATCATTCTTATAAATAAATATTTATGTATAAATTTAACATGGATAAATTTTGAATAAATTCAAGTTTTAATTTACAATAAAAAATAAAAATAAAAAAACAATATGTGGTTTTAGGCTAAAAGATGTTTGAAAAGGTTAGAAAACTATATAATATATATATATATATATATATATATATATATATATATATATATATATATATATATATATATATATGTGTGTGTGTGTGTGTGTGTGTGTGTGTGTGTGTGTGTGTGTGTGTGTGTGTGTGTGTGTGTGTGCGCGCGCGCGTGCGTGCCAAGAAGAGGTCATTCATAAAATTTTAGGTCTATGGTCTTTTAAAAACAAATAATCTGCGAAGATTAATGTATGTGTGTCGTCTGCACATCGCAAACAAAAGAGGTTAAGAATATCTGCAGACAAAAAATAAACATCATCTTAATGTTTTTTGTTTTTCAAAAAGATTGCATTTCTTCGGAAACGATTCAAGGCGTACAAAAGTCAATTCATTCCACGAAGGATAATAATGCATGCAGATCATTGAAATATTAAATTCGAATTGCAATGGGATACTGAAGCAGTTAACCAAATGGGTTTTGAAGCTCAAAACCAATAGGTTCTCAAAACAAGTTTCAACCTTGATTTAAAAGTTTAAAATAAAAAACTTATCAACTTTGGTAGCAAGTTCGATTCCAAACAATATTGAATCCAACATATGTTTCAACAATATTGTATGTTTCGAATAAAAATTTCTAAGTTACCTTCCTAAATCCAATAACTTATTAGAACCGAAACAACTTCGGGTCCCTTTAATTATTCATTGATTGTATGTGATGTGTGACGAACATTATGATAAAGAAAATCATATCAATATCGGTTGCTCTCATTACATGACTAGAAGAAAGGAACACCTAAGGGATTATCGTGATTTATTTGGAGCTATAAATGGGAAGTTTGTAAATAATGAAAAAGCATCAATTAAAGGGTTTGAAAAATTAAAAATGCAAACTTATCATTAATTGTGTTGTCTATGTCGAAGATTTAAAGCATAATTTGATTGGTGTTTCCCAATTGTATGTAGGTACCGAAAATAAGATCAACTTTGATAAGAATGAGATATTATTGAGAACAAATTCACCAAAGAAGTTTTTGTGAAGTCTTAGATGTTGATGTGGCGACGTTCATTATTCACTTGGATGATCTTGGTGTCTTTGTTGTCCCAAAATAATATTTTAAGGTTGATGCACATATGTCTGGTTGTGACATTAAATTTTAGCAGTGTTGTAAAACTTGTCGAGTTGGTCGATTACTCGCCTTAGTACTCCTTACTAGGCTCCTTACTGAGGCGAGTTACAGAATCCGCCTACTCTCGGATCGGCCCCTTTCTGAAATGAAAAGTGTTATAAAGCTCGACCAACTCAGTGATTAATATGTAAAATATACTAAATGATTTATTATCTAACATACATACATGTGAGGATTACTACACACACACACACACACACACACACATATATATATATATATATATATATATATATATATATATATATATATATATATATATATATATATATATATATACTAGCCGTTTACCCGCGCCAAGCGACGGACGAATATTTTTTCAAAATTTAGTTTCTAGATGCGATTATTCTTTTGTTCAAATAGTTTACTATTGAAACACATGATTGATCGAACATCCAAATAAGAACTATGTTATGTTCAATGACATCTCAAAATATTTGCATGAAAAATTATCAGCATAATGTCAATAGGCGAGTTTAAAACAATTTTGAATTCTTAAATCCTTTGAATAAGGTACATTTATCCGGAAAACCAAGATTCAAATACTTTTGAATAAAGACTATCTTTAAAACAATTAAAATTTTCTTTAGAGTGACAATTATTATATATATAAAAAAAATGCAAGGACAATAAGAACGTAAAACAATGAACTAAACAAATCTTGATAAGCTTATATAAGAATACAATTAAAAAAAAATTTATTAACCAATTATCAAAGATCCATTATCAATTTAAACCATTAATAAACACCTATTTTTGAAGTGAACACTATAATGGACCATTTTTGAAGTGAACAACACTATAATATATAATCACGTAATATTATCCTTTGTATAGACAACTTCCATCAAATGTGTTAGTTTGATGCTCTCATTTGATGGAGATGAGCTCAAATCAATAACATAAATCTCTGCACATTTATAACATAATTAAATTGTCATTTGTAAATTTTTTTTTACTGTTTGAAGCTAATAGAAATGGTTATGTGACGATTTCATGACATAGGGTAAATGCATCCACGAGATTCCAACTAAGATTTCTCCATTTGCACAGCATGTTTCCGTTTTCAAAGGATATCCATTTTTCAAAAAATTATAAATAAGTTTAAATTCAAAATAATAAATATGTTGCATATAAAAAAAATGTTTTATCTATTAAAAATATAATATATAAAAATGTTTAATTTGTATAAATTATCAACTAATCTCCAACCATTTGAAAGTAGCTAGTTAGCAACAACACATCTCCCATTCAATTTTCTTTTATCAATGTAATAAATTGAAAATTCTACCCAATTCAGAGGTGCAGCCGTCTCGCAACATTAACCTGCATGACAATACAACCATTAATTTCAAAAAAAAAAAACTCATATATGTAACTTATTTCAAGTCAATGTCAACTCAAAACTAATTTGTATTTAGATGACATCATTTTAGTTGAGCAAAATTTATAATGTACATTATTGTAATGATTTAATGGAAACAAAATGAATGAAAATGTTAAAACTAAACAAATAATAATATATATGTTATTGCCTCTTGCCATCCAAAATAGGGAAAATTACACTTACAAATTTGTTTATTAATTATGTCAACAGAGATTAGCATGTTCAAAAAGGATATAATATTTCTAGAGATTTGATGTATGCATCATTGATTTGTTGCAACCCAAAAAAATGTATTTAAAACAGTAGATTAATATTATAAGATCCAATTATCTCTTTTTAGTAAATAATTAACAAACATGTGAGCTTTAGACGTTGAAGAGTTGCTTTTTTTTTTCTTTGTGCAAAGTGTACCTGAGATAAAGTTTCACCACCTTTGATCATTTTTTCTCTTAGGGGTATTTGGGTCTTGTCGCTTCCATTATATATATTTACAATAAATGTAAATATATAAATATAAATAAACTTAAAAAAACAACTTAAAAATACCATTAAATCCTTTGATGAAAAGTATATTGTTATATAAAGATGTTGAGGGTATAATTGGTATAAAAAAAATGAACTTTCACTCAACCTATGGATATCATAAGCAAAATCCTTGTGTGCATTTAATCCATCTACAAGTGACTGAATTACTGCAAACTAAGAAACCAATAGTTTCCCAATATTACCCTCTAACACCATATTATGCTAAACATTGTGTTGATTCCTTATGATGAACTTTTGTCACATCATGTTGTTCTACTCTATGCAAACACTCCTCGCGAAGCTTCAAGTTCTGGAATTGAACTTATTATGAGTTAAACATTATATGATAAGAAGTATTTATAAAAAACCAATTAAAGGGCAACACGGTCATTGAAAAACTTCAAAAAAGGGCTGATATGTAACCCGGTTCCTTTAGGGACCAAAACCGAAAACATATAATTAAACTTGAGTACCAAAAATGTAAATCCCTGTATTGCAAATATGATTCAATAGAAAGCCAAAAAAATAGAATTGCTTGGCTAAAAGTTAAACCTGGTGGGCTTTGAATATGTCTTGTCCTTTCCCCCTTTGTCTCCATTCCATTCATATGTAATTCAAACACAATCAGTTGAAACTGTTCTTGCCTATCGAATATTAGGAAATTTGTCAATATAAAATAGTAAATAAAAAAATAATAAGAAAAATTAAACCTGCTATTAAATTTCCACCGAGATCAAAATGAAGAGATTATTAGGAGTGAAAATTGCAACTCCTGGAGATCAGGAAAGATCTGTCCAATTGTTATATATCACAATAAAACAAAAGTTAGACATTTAAATACATTAACAACAGATTTTAAATCAGACAGATCAAAAAAGGAATTTCCCAAATGAATTTCTTAAGAAGTAATTAGCAAAAATGTGACTTGGCAGATTAAACCAACACTTTTACAATTCTGATTGTATATTGTACTTAATCACCCCCCCCCCCCCCAAGGGATCAGATCTCTCACATAGATGCCCCATTCCCCCTGCTATACCCACACACACACACACACACACACTAACTATACACTACTAGAAAAACAGCCTTTTACGACGCTCATTGCGCGTCGTAAAAGGCTCAAACGACGCGCAAATGCGTGTCAAGGAAGGCCCTATCATAAAGAGAGACGACGCGCATTTACGACGCGCAATTACGACGCGTGTTTACGACACGCAATGCGTATCAAGGAAGGCCCTATCATAAAGCAAGATGACACGCGACACGCAATGCGTATCAAGAAAGCCCCTGTCAAGAAAGGTCATGTCATAAATGAAGATGACACACATTTTTGCGTATCGTAAATTTAAATGTTTAAAAAAAAAATTATATATTTATTAATTTTTAAATTAAATTTGCATTTAATTTCTCATAATAGAAATAAAATACCATATACAAAAAATACAATCCATTGCATAATATAAAATAAAATTTCATACTCAAAAAATAAAATAAATTGCACAAATTGTAATGTCATACAAAGAATCATTCAAATGTTAAACAAAAATAATACATTGCTAACATGGGTTATACATTCATATAAAACTAACAAATAATCATACAACTCTGTTTCTTACTGGAAAGGAATTTCAAACATGATTACAAGTCTCCCTTAATCTTGATTACTCACTTGCTTAAGTAGAATGTTGTTGTTGAGAAGGTTACCTAGCAACAGAGAAAAACACAACACCTCTCCCACAATCACAACATCATTTACAGAGAAAGGGTTGTCAATTACTTTCATTAAGACTTTCATTCAATCACAAAAATATTAAATAAAAGGGTGAAATATTAACTTACTTTTGATAAGTTGATCTCCCTTAGAGCAAACACAACTAAATCATTGAACAAGACCCTATTTCAAAATTTTATAAATACACAAATCATGATACCTGATATTGGAATACACACTTTGAGACATGAATAAATACGAGTAGATTAACCTGGATACATAGGAAGTAAAGATGGAAGGTGCCAGAACTCCGGGGGCATTGGGTTGGTTCCTTCCCACTCGCACACACCAAGCTAGAACTCCACTTAATCCAGCACCAAAATAAGCCTGCATTCAGAAAGCTGCAGGGGTGAGTCACAATTCAAGAATCTGTTAAAATTTGAGGAATAACATGTTCAACCAAAACAATATTAGAAAACAGGGTTAAATGTGAAACATAGCAATGTAATAATTATCAAGGTGCTGGAATACTTGAAATCTAGATTATTTGCTTGTTTGTACATCCAGACGATTTTATCACGAACATAAGTCATGTTATCAACTTTCTGAAGAAGTATACCAAGACATTTGTAGGAGAAGAATACTCTCAATAAGATAATTTAATTAAAAAAATGTAATGATAATGATAATGAGTTCATACCTGTGAAGTAGTGCAGAATGCTCATCATCATATGTATAAAGCTCATACTGCTTTGCAAAAGCATTTCCAAGAGAAATGACCCAATCAATGTCTTGAACAACATCCAAAGTTTCTGCAAGAAACTGCAAACAAAAAAAGAAATAAATAATAATGACATGAAAAGTAAGACTATCAGTCTATAACCTCAACAATAAAACAAAACAAATTATTATTAAAATCAAATAATGATAATACAAATTGTTACAAATTATGGGACAGCAGGGTCTTCTATGATGACATATAAAGCAGCCCTATTACAATATTGCCCTTGTGGGACAACAGTGTCTTCTTTTATGATGACAAATTATGGGACAATAGTACATGACTAAATGCATGTAGATTGATAAGGTTGTTTCTTTTTTACTTAATAAAATCAAAATGACTTGTCGTGCTAAGTGAGAGGTTGGTCACTTTATGTATTAAGACCCTTCCTATTACAATATTACCCTTGTTTATTTTTTAATTTTATTCAACTTTTGACAATCTCATGAAAAAGGCATTATCGACCTCGTTTTTTTTTCAATGTTCACAGAATTTTAAACAAAATGTTGGCATCTATTTACCTGTTGTTGTTTGTTTTAGAATTTGGAGAGAGAGAGAGAGAGAGAGAGAGAGAGAATCTTCATGCCTTTATGGTGTATCAAAGGAGGGCGCGAAAAGACAACCCAGTTACCATCCTAAGCAATTAGTGGTCCTAGACCATGTGAAAAACAGAGCTCATATCATAAGTTGATTTCATAAGGGGCAACAACCAGTATGGCAATCCTAGTATTCCAAAATTTGAAAACTCAAAGCTTGTCATTGGCTCACAAGTTTTGTTGTATTTCCGTACCACCTGAGCATCTAAACACTCTTGTTTCTTAGAGGATATTGTAGTTCATCAATTAAAAAAAAAGGAAAATATTTAATTTTACCTGTGTCACAAATTACGATATTGTCCTGAAAAGTTACCACAGAATAAAGCAGACCCGCACGTGAAATACCCTCCACCGAGAAATTATTTTGTGGCAGCTGCTGACTAGGCAGTATTTCTTTTACGAGGGATGATTTCTCCTTTATCAAATGTCCACAGATCTCTATAATCTTTGAAGATCCTTCACACCACAAAAAATGTTATTAAATAACATCATAATTAACCTAGAAACATCAAAAGAATATGTAGACAATAGAAGTCAAACCTTTGACCACTTCTTGAATGATACCAGATGACAGATCCATGATCCATAAAGTTTCAAAACTGCATGAAAACATTATATAGCAAATTAATAGTATATCATGTTAATTAAAATATGACATGTAAAATGTGGTAATTTTCCAATGACTTGAGAATATGCCAGGGGTAAAAACGTAATTTAGGATCAACTTCCTTAGAATTTGAAGGAATGTCTTTTGCACTCTAAAGTTTATCAATGATCCAAGTCACTAAACTACTTTTTGTCTCACTGACATTAGGTTTTTGATATAATGTCTCAACTGTCCTGCTCTCCATATCAGCTCTCCTTATAGCATGATTCTTTCATCATATGAAAAGTAAAAAACCATAATAAGACTATATCCCCATCAATATATTTGTAATTATTCATTTAAAAAAGAATACCTCTGAGTCAACAAAATAGAAGGAATCATCCTCATTGTGATAAAACAAAGCAGCAGGGCGAATTATTTTGGAAGATTCAAACTCTCCATCTTCAAATCCAAGTGAAGATCCAATCTGAAATATATATATATATATATATATATATATATATATATATATATATATATATATATGTATGTATATATATATATATATATATATATATATATATATTATCATAAGCATTTAGCTACTCAAAATTGAAATGCTATGTGAATTACAAATGGAACTCCTGATAATTACCATTAACAAAGCATAGTATATTTGATAATTACCATCAGGATCAACAATTCCATCCATTTGAAGTGCATATGAGTTTGCCATGTGTAATGGCTAAGATTATACAACATGGCTACATAATGTAGGAGCGTATCATTTCACAGAACACAGTAGAGAAGGGACCTGGACATGATGATAAAAAAAATTAATCAAAACTATGAGTAAATTAACCTAATCACTGCATATAACCTACCCACAATGTTTTTCACTGGAAGTGGACCCTTGCACCATCACATCACAAAAATCATAAGGATTGTAATCTTGATACAGGACCAGAACTGTAGCCAAATTCCTACAAGATTATTGATACAAGACAATGAGCAAACAACAAAACACAGAACTAATCAAAGATACTTATAATCAAGAAGTGAAATCGCACCTGAAGAATGGGAGGAGCCTTGAAGATCATAATATCTGAAACTTCTGGCTTCCGAAAGATGTATGAAACCTAAATCAATAACAGGCAAAAACTCAAAATCTTGCATACAATCACTATGTGAATTGAAAAGCCAAAATGGCGAAATTGGCAACCATCATTCATATAGTGTGTAATAAGGTTAGAATTGGGATTATACCTTTTCGGCCATTATGCGATCACCCACATCAAGGGTAGGGATCATGGATGCAGAGGGGATGGATCTTGGTTCAGCCAATTGCGATCGGAATAAGATACTGACACTCAAAGCGGTGAAGGCAGCCTTAGCATCATCGGAGCAAACACTTAATAGTTTTGAAAACCAATTGTTCCTCTCAACGATGATTTTGGTACTTGCAACATTGCAGGTTTTCACGCAATCAGTAGTAGTCTGATTGGACTTCGTCGAGCTAGTACCGCCTTTATCAACCTCCGTACTGTTAATCTCGTTACATGGGAGCCACTTCGACCCTTGGAAAAACGGAATCATGGAAGACGCCTTCAACGGCAAAATCCCAAAAACCCCAGAACCACCACCAACGCCACCACCGGTAGCCGTTGACTTTACCAACGAGATGAATCCAACAACGAGGGGAGAAGGTTTAGAGGAGGTCTCAACGCCAAGAAAATCACATGCAAGAGTGGCATACGCCGAAACCGAACACCTTGAACCCGCCGTTGCTGCCGGACCGTACCCGGCGACGGGATCTCGGTCGGGATTCTGGAATATACGAGGATGAGAAAAAACCTCGTGAAAAATTCGGCATGTATTGGATTTTCCGGAGGCGGTGGCTAGGTTTTGGGCCACGTAGTCGGAGTAAGAAACAGTGAATCTGATCGCCATACACACAATTTTGATTAACAACAAAAAGATTTGGAAAATTGCTTCTTCGGTGATCAACTGTTGTGACGTGAAAAGAAAACTCACAAAGAAAGAGATCCCATTGAAAATGAAGAAATCAGTGAGATTAGGAGGGTGGGGTGGAATCGAAGGGTAAGATTAGAACAAGAAGGGAAGAATCGGGAGCTGAAAATTGGGGAAAATGATGAAATCGAAAAACCCCAAAGTTGAAAACAACCTGAGATTTCCTCCAGGAAGCGATGGAGAGATCTCAAGGGTGTGGAGACGAAAGAGACTTCCGGTGAAAAACATTGTGGGTAGGTCTGTGTTCAAAATTGATAGATTTTTTTTTTCAAAATTGATAGGGGGTTGTGATTCTTTAGGCTTCAAAATTGATAGATTTTTTTTCGATTCATTCAAGTTTGAATCAGAAAATGAGAAAGAGTTAGGGAAATCAAGAGTGCAATGCTCGTCCTTGTTAGGTTGAAGATGAAAGATAGATAGAAGATAGAAAAAAAAAAGGCGGGTTTTCAAAATTTTGGGGATTTCATTTCCCCCCTTGTATACTAAAAGCGCGTTTCATTAAAATTATAAAGCGACAGGTACAGACGACGCGCGTTTAAGATAAAGCGCCCTCCGTGTTTTTAATTTTTTTTCTTGAGATACTAAATTAAGGGCACGCAATAAAGCGTGACGTAAATCCTTAAATTTTTTGGAGAGATGACACTATTTTAAGGGCACGTCCTTTTGCGTATCGTTAATTATCGCGTGTCGTAAAAAGCGCGTCATTAAAGGTCTTTTTTCTAGTAGTGATAACATTATAGAAAACTTTGTTTTCCTCCAAAGCCATGCCACAAAATTAAGCTTTTAGTTCCTTCTTTTTGAAATTTAGTTGTTAAACACAAACACACAGTAAACAAATCCGGTATACACACACCTAATATTTATGTACAATGAACAGATGAAAAGAAAAAGGAAACACATACCTAATTTATTTCTTCTCTTAACAAGGAATTATGGCTTATTTAGGAAGAGTGTTGGTGCCATGGTTGTTGCCATCATACCCACCACCAAAACAACCTTGTACCACCACCATTACAACCCATCTTAATCACCACCAACCACTATCCTCCACCACTGAAAATCATAACCCATTACAGCCTCCCCACGGAGACCACGTGGTGAACCTCTTAGTACATTTCTCTAAACAACAAAAAGAGAGGAATTAGGAGAGAGAGAGAGAGAGGGGGGGAGGGAGAGAGGGGAGGGAGGGAGGGAGAGAGAGAGAGAGAGAGAGAGAGAGAGAGAAAGTTTACCTAGATTTTATAAATGCAATAAATAGAGATGATAATAGAGTTAAGAAGCCACTTTCAATCTGGTTATTTGTCTTCCTCATCATCTCAATGAATCAACTAATTGTGGAAGACCTGCAATTGGTAAAGTAAAAAAAGAGTCAATGGATGAAGAGATATTCTTTTAACCTATAGAAAAATTAAAAAGCGCATGAACCATGGGAATGTGAATTCGATGGCAGTAACCTGAAAAAAAATCAGTTTGTTGTAAAAGTATGATAGCTATAACCAAAAATCTAAATCAAAACATGAATCAGACACAACTCATGACATTTCTAAGATAAATATTTTAATAGAAATCCTAAATATTATCTTTTATAACCATTCTTGGTCAGAAATTGTTACGACACTAACAAATTATGAACTCATTAGCATACCAACATACCTTGATGATGGTGGTAACCCAAGTTCTATGGTTTTAATAGAGAATGTTGAGTGACAGCATGGATTTCGATGGGTAGATTAGGTTTCGACATATAGAATCAAAAACGATGGTGGACGATTTTAGAGAGGGATAAACGGTGTAAGGGTATGGTGGTAACGTTCATCTGTCAGTGGTGAACAGTGGTTGTGGTTGTAGAGGAGCAGTCAGACGCGACATCATCAAGGTATGTTGGTATGCTAATGACTTCATAATTTTTTTGGGAACTGTTAGAGCGGACGATAATAAATGTTGTGTCTATAGATTTCATAGAGGGCTGAGTGGTGTTGGAGACGGTGGTATCTAGGGTTTTCATAGGGGCGATGGTTCACTGGTGGTGCAACGGTGGTGGGGTAGAGAGGAGAAGGGAACACCAATTCGAGGTAAGGATTGCAGGAGATACTGTCGGAGGAGGCAAATATGGATACATGAACCACAAATGAAATAGGAGGGATATGGATTAGGGTTCTTATCAGAGAGTTTGAGAGAAGAGATGGTTAAGAGCTCTTCCACAAGCAATGCCTATTAATCGACTGAGATAAGAGATGATATATAGAGAGATGATATATAGAGAGACAGAAGAGAGCATAAAGAGACTGGAGAGATGGAAGTGAGCAATTAGAGAGACAGAAGAGATTTGGGAAAAATGATGATTGATGGTATGTAGATGAAATTAGGGTTTTCAACGTTTAAATATAAGGAGGAGGTATTACCGTCAGTTACACTCAAAGGAGCATGCGCAGGCGTTTTCATTATGCTTAATCCGATTGTACTCGATGTTGTAACATGTATACCTCTTAATATTCAAGAAATGGGCAATATGTTTAATATTATAGTGTATATATATATATATATATATATATATATATATATATATAGATATATATGACTAGGTTATTTTGTTTCTTACAATTATTGTATGCTAGAATGTACCAATAAGATTTTAGTAAATTAAATAATTATTTAATTAAATAAATATAAATATTAAATGATTTCCATAATTATATGTATATTAAATTATATCCATAATTATAATTCTCTTTTTATGGAAATTAATTAAATCCGTCATTAATGTTAGCAACAATATTCTTTCAGAATGAATTAAAATCTAGGTTTTTATATATGAGTTCGTATTTTGTATCAGAACTTGCTCACTTAAAATACAATAAAGTTGCATGGAATATGAAGAATGAGAGTGTATTCTAGTAGAATACACTATAATTCTGGTGGAATACACTGTTATTCTTCTAGATATGAATTCATTTTGAAATAATATTATTGTTGACATTAATGACGAATTTAATTGGTTTCCATAAAAATGAGTTGTAAGTATGGATATCATTTAATATACGTATAATTAATACTAAATTCATATTGGTGCATTCTAGCACATAATAGATGTGAGAAACATTTGAACCTACCTCTCTCTCTCTCTCTCTCTATATATATATATATATTATATATATATATATATATATATATATATATATATATATATATATATCTTAAATTTTCAGTAATTATTCATGATGTGAGACCATTATGTGTTTTTCAGTTTTTGTGTATTCACATGTATCTAGTTTTGTTATATATTTCAATCAACTTATGATTGACATATATAATTTCTCTAAAAACATTTCTACATGAATTACTGAATCTAAGTACTAGCTACTCAACAGTTAGACAAACAGGTACCAAGTAGCGAGTTCTAAACCTTGCATTTTAGTAACATCTGAAGCAACAGTTGCGAGAGAGTTTCATAGATATCTGAAGCAACGGTTGTGAGATATTGCCATAGGTTCAAAGCTTCACAATAGAGTTAATCTTCTTCCATTTGGGTTCATTGTGAGTGACATGAGGAGCATAGTATGCTTTGTCGAGTGCTTAAGAATGCCTAATTTGGTGTATAGAGTCTTAAAGAATTATCTCCAAGCATCATGGTTGAGTTCTTCAAGGTTACAAACAAATGGAACACATGCTTTAATGTGGGTTAGTCCATACAAATTTTCAAGTGAAGACATTTATTTGTCGTTTGTGCCACCAACCATGATGAAAGAAGAGGGAGAATAGTTGAGAGGAAAAAGGTTAAGGAGAGGTTTGAGCGACAACTAGATTAGGGTTTTTAATTATGATACATTGTAAAGTAATGTTTTTCTCCAAAAAGATAATCAACCACACTGTATATGAGTGTACACTGTACTCCTACACTACAAATATAAATAAGGTTGTATATGGGTCCAAATATGTTATACTAACAATAAGTGACTTGTACATCGTGTACTAATTAATGTGCTAGGGATAGCCATACTATTTATTGGAACAAAAATATTATTAAAAATTCACAGCCTAAAGAAGGTAGGGCAAACATTAACAAAAGCAAAATTACAAAATATTGAAAGGGAAACAACACCAATCCTCCCAATTACAACTACCAAAACTGCCCATGTGTTTAACCCTATCAAATGCCATAGAAAAAAAATTGTCCTCCGGTTTAGAATGAGAAGTTTGGATGTCATTGAACCTCCTCACATTACTTGTCCTCCAAGCACACAAGATCAAACCGTAACAAATGGCAATTAGAATCGATCTTCTTTTCGGGCATTAACCCCAGGACCCAACGAAGTCAACAAGTTCCACCACAAAATTGAAAACGGCAGCCAGATATTACACCAATTAAGTAACCTATTTAAAGCATCCCGTGCGATTGGGCACCCCAAAAGAACATGATACATCTTGGTCAAAGCCGTGAAGTTCTTCATTAGGTACACGAACATACCAACAAAAATCCAACGCTTAACTTGACTAGTGCTCCAAAAGAGTATTTGTTCTTCTATGAGGAAAAATCAGTTTCACATTTGTACAAATTTTCTTTTACAAGAAGTCCCAAAGGGCAAAGTCCAATATGATTACCATGGTTCGCAAATATTGGCCCAAGTGCTATATGGATATACTCTTGAATGTATACATGACCTACCAAATTTCAAATCATCATTGGGGGATATAAATAATCATGAAAGGACACTCCATGATTTAGTTGAGGCTGGAGAAATCATGTTGGGTAAGCTGTCTTATTCGTGAACATAAACTCTCGCACGTGTGAGAAAACGGTCTATTTGGGGCTTATTATAATGAGGTAACATGTTTTGTCTTTTAATTGCATTATTGATTGCCAAATCCCTTTTGACGATAAAATATTCTTTCTCATTATATAATTGTGTTTTATATATGGTTTCATAGATTCTTTGACTTTATTATAATTTGTAAAATTAAGTTATTCTATTTGAGCTCGAGGAGTTATTTTATATAAATTCTTATAGAAAAGTAACTACTAAAAATTTGTAAGGTAAGTGGACCTTCTAAGATAATAACCGAATAATTTTTATTTTATTTTTCACTTTTAACACCACTACATTAACTAAATGTATACATGAAAGATGACCAGAATTATATACAAATCTCCTACCAATTTAACTTAACTTACTATAAAACTTTGAAATTTGTTGTTTGTGAGTGAAATTATTCACCAAGGGAAGTGTTTG